ATCTCTACAGGTCTCTGTGTGTGTCTCTGTGTGTATCTCTACATGTCTCTCTGTGTGTCTCTCTATGGGTCTCTGTGTGTATTTCTACAGGTCTCTCTGTGTGTATCTGTGTGTATCTCTGTGTGTCTCTGTGTGTCTCTGTGTGTATCTCTACAGGTCTCTGTGTATCTCTATGGGTCTCTGTGTGTGTCTCTACAGGTCTCTGTGTGTCTCTGTGTGTATCTCTATGGGTCTCTGTGTATCTCTATGGGTCTCTGTGTGTCTCTCTACAGGTCTCTGTGTGTCTCTGTGTGTATCTCTATGGGTCTCTGTGTATCTCTACAGGTCTCTGTGTGTGTCTCTGTGTGTATCTCTACATGTCTCTCTGTGTGTCTCTCTATGGGTCTCTGTGTGTATTTCTACAGGTCTCTCTGTGTGTATCTGTGTGTATCTCTGTGTGTCTCTGTGTGTCTCTGTGTGTATCTCTACAGGTCTCTGTGTATCTCTATGGGTCTCTGTGTGTCTCTGTGTGTATCTCTATGGGTCTCTGTGTGTCTCTGTGTGTCTCTGTGTGTATCTCTACAGGTCTCTCTGTGTATCTCTATGGGTCTCTGTGTGTATCTCTACAGGTCTCTCTGTGTGTGTCTCTGTGTGTCTCTGTGTGTATCTCTACAGGTCTCTGTGTGTATCTCTACGGGTCTCTCTGTGTGTCTCTGTGTGTATCTCTACAGGTCTCTCTGTGTGTCTCTGTGTGTATCTCTACAGGTCTCTGTGTGTCTCTGTGTATCTGTACAGGTCTCTGTGTGTTTCTATGTATCTCTGTGTGTCTTTATGGGTCTCTGTGTGTCTTTATGGGTCTCTGTGTGTCTTTATGGGTCTCTGTGTGTCTCTGTGTGTGTCTCTACAGGTCTGTGTGTGTCTCTGTGTGTGTCTCTACAGGTCTCTGTGTGTCTCTGTGTGTGTCTCTACAGGTCTCTCTGTGTGCTCTGTGTGTATCTCTATGGGTCTCTGTGTGTATCTCTACAGGTCTGTGTGTGTCTCTGTGTGTGTCTCTACAGATCTCTGTGTGTCTCTGTGTGTATCTCTACAGGTCTCTCTGTGTGTCTCTCTGTGTGTCTCTGTGTGTGTCTCTGTGTGTGTCTCTACAGGTCTCTGTGTGTGTCTCTACAGGTCTCTGTGTGTCTCTGTGTGTATCTCTAGGTCTCTGTGTGTATCTCTATGGGTCTCTGTGTATCTGTACAGGTCTCTGTGTGTCTTTGTGTGTCTGTGTGTGTTTCTACAGGTCTCTGTGTGTCTCTACGTGTGTCTGTGTGTCTCTGTGTGTCTCTCTACAGGTCTCTCTGTGTGTATCTCTATGGGTCTCTGTGTATCTGTACAGGTCTCTGTGTGTATCTCTATGGGTCTCTGTGTATCTGTACGGGTCTCTGTGTGTCTCTATGTATCTCTCTGGGTCTTTATGGGTCTCTGTGTGTCTTTATGGGTCTCTGTGTGTCTCTATGGGTCTTTGTGTGTGTGTCTCTACAGGTCTCTGTGTGTCTCTCTACAGGTCTCTCTGTGTGTCTCTATGAGTATTTATGGGTCTTTATGGGTCTCTGTGTGTTGCTGTGCATTTATATGGATCTATGTATCTCTGTGTCTCTCTAGAGGTACCTGTATATCTCTATGGGTCTTTATGGGTCTCTGTGTTTCTCTATGGGTCTATGTGTGTATCTATGGGTCTCTGTGTGGTTCTGTATCTCTATGGGTCTCTGTGTATCTCTATGTGTCTCTATGTATCTCTATGGGTCTCTATGCATCTCTATGTATCTCTGTGTCTGTATGCATCTCTCTCCACTGGACATCTGTGACAAAAACCTGCGGTGTGAATGATGACGATCTTCTGACGTTACCCCACCCCCCCCTCGTGTCGCCACCATCACCACCATCATCAGTGGTGGTGGTGAGGGACAGGCGGCCAGCGTGCAGTCGGTGCTGGAGCACAACCGCAGCCTGCACGAGGCCAACGGCCAGCTGAGCAGGGAGCTGCAGGTGGGTGTGGATCACACTGTACACCTCTGTGAGAAGGTCATCCTGGTGAGTGGTGGTGGTGAGTGTGTGTGGTGAGTGGTGGTGGTGAGTGTGTGTGGTGAGTGGTGAGTGTGTGAGTGGTGAGTGTGTGAGTGTGTGAGTGTGTGAGTGTGTGAGTGTGTGAGTGTGTGAGTGTGTGAGTGTGTGAGAAGGTCATCCTGGTGAGTGGTGGTGGTGAGTGTGTGAGTGTGGTGAGTGTGGTGAGTGTGGTGAGTGTGGTGAGTGTGGTGAGTGTGGTGAGTGTGTGAGTGTGTGAGTGGTGAGTGTGTGAGTGGTGAGTGTGTGAGAGTGAGGTCATCCTGGTGAGTGAGTGGTGAGTGAGTGAGTGAGTGGGTGAGTGGGTGGTGAGTGGTGAGTGGTGAGTGTGTGGTGAGTGTGTGGTGAGTGTGGTGAGTGTGGTGAGTGTGTGAGTGTGTGTGGTGAGTGAGTGTGTGAGAGTGAGGTCATCCTGGTGAGTGGGTGGTGAGTGGGTGGTGAGTGTGTGTGTGCGCGTGTGTGAGCGTGTGTGTGTGAGCGTGTGTGAGAGAGTGTGTGTGAGCGTGTGTGTGAGCGTGTGAGTGTGTGTGAGCGTGTGTGTGTGAGTGTGGTGAGTGTGGTGAGTGTGGTGAGTGTGTGAGTGTGTGAGTGGTGAGTGTGTGAGAGTGAGGTCATCCTGGTGAGTGGGTGGTGAGTGGTGAGTGTGGGAGTGAGTGAGTGGTGATTGAGTGGGTGAGTGGTGAGTGGTGAGTGGTGAGTGTGAGTGTGTGGTGAGTGTGTGAGTGTGTGTGGTGAGTGTGGTGAGTGTGTGAGTGTGTGAGAGTGAGGTCATCCTGGTGAGTGAGTGGTGAGTGAATGGGTGGTGAGTGGGGTGAGTGTGGTGAGTGTGGTGAGTGTGGTGAGTGGTGAGTGTGGTGAGTGTGGTGAGTGTGGTGAGTGTGGTGAGTGTGTGAGTGTGTGAGTGTGTGAGTGTGTGAGTGTGTGAGTGTGTGTGGTGAGCGGTGAGTGTGTGAGAAGGTCATCCTGGTGAGTGTGTGGTGAGTGAGTGTGTGGTGAGTGTGTGTGGTGAGTGTGGTGAGTGTGGTGAGTGTGGTGAGTGTGGTGAGTGTGGTGAGTGTGGTGAGTGTGTGTGGTGAGCGGTGAGTGTGTGAGAAGGTCATCCTGGTGAGTGGTGGTGAGTGTGTGTGGTGAGTGAGTGTGTCGTGAATGTGTGAGTGGGTGAGAGTGAGGTCATCCTGGTGAGTGGGTGAGTGGCAGCGGTGGTGAGTGTGGTGAGTGATGGGTGAGTGGGTGAGAGTGCGAGAAGGTCATCCTGGTGAGTGAGTGGTGAGTGTGAGTGTGTGGTGAGTGTGTGAGTGTGTGTGATGGGTGGTGGTGGTGAGTGTGTGTGTGGTGAGTGGTGGTGGTGAGTGTGTGTGTGGTGAGTGAGTGTGTGAGAGTGAGGTCATCCTGGTGAGTGGGTGGTGAGTGGGTGGTGAGTGTGTGTGAGCGTGTGTGAGCGTGTGTGAGCGTGTGTGAGCGTGTGTGAGAGAGAGTGTGTGAGCGTGCGTGTGTGAGCGTGAGCGTGTGTGTGTGAGCGTGTGTGAGAGAGTGTGTGTGTGAGCGTGTGTGTGTGTGAGCGTGTGTGTGTGTGTGTGAGTGTGGTGAGTGTGTGTGTGAGTGTGTGTGGTGAGTGTGCGAGAAGGTCATCCTGGTGAGTGGTGGTGGTGAGTGTGTGTGGTGTGTGTGGTGAGTGTGGTGAGTGTGGTGAGTGTGGTGAGTGTGGTGAGTGTGTGAGTGGTGAGTGTGTGTGGTGAGTGTGGTGAGTGTGGTGAGTGTGTGAGTGTGTGAGTGGTGAGTGTGTGAGAGTGAGGTCATCCTGGTGAGTGAGTGGTGAGTGAGTGAGTGGGTGAATGGGTGGTGAGTGGTGAGTGTGGTGAGTGTGTGAGTGTGTGAGTGTGTGAGTGTGTGAGGTGAGCGGTGAGTGTGTGAGAAGGTCATCCTGGTGAGTGGTGGTGAGTGTGTGTGGTGAGTGAGTGTGTGGTGAGTGTGTGAGAAGGTCATCCTGGTGAGTGGTGGTGAGTGTGTGTGGTGAGTGAGTGTGTGGTGAGTGTGTGAGAGTGAGTGTGTCGTGAATGTGGGAGTGGGTGAGAGTGAGGTCATCCTGGTGAGTGGGTGGTGAGTGGGTGGTGAGTGGTGAGTGTGGGAGTGAGTGAGTGGTGATTGAGTGGGTGAGTGGTGAGTGTGTGAGAAGGTCATCTTGGTGAGTGGTGGTGGTGAGTGTGTGGTGAGTGGGTGGTGAGTGAGAGTGTGTGAGTGTGTGAGTGTGTGTGAGCGTGTGTGAGCGTGTGTGTGAGCGTGTGTGAGAGAGTGTGTGAGAGCGTGTGTGTGTGTGTGTGAGCGTGTGCGTGTGTGTGAGCGTGTGTGAGAGAGAGTGTGTGAGCGTGTGTGTGTGTGTGTGTGTGAGCGTGTGTGAGAGAGTGTGTGAGCGTGTGTGTGTGTGTGTGAGCGTGTGTGAGAGAGTGAGTGTGTGAGCGTGTGTGAGAGAGAGAGTGTGTGAGAGAGTGTGTGTGAGCGTGTGTGTGTGTGTGTGAGAGAGAGTGTGTGTGAGCGTGTGTGTGTGTGTGTGAGAGAGAGTGTGTGTGAGCGTGTGTGTGTGTGCGTGTGTGAGAGAGAGTGTGTGTGTGTGAGCGTGTGTGTGTGTGTGTGAGCGTGTGTGAGAGAGAGCGTGTGTGTGTGTGTGTGTGTGAGAGTGCGTGTGTGTGAGTGTGTGAGAGTGTGTGTGTGAGCGTGCGTGTGTGTGAGAGAGTGTGTGTGAGAGAGAGTGTGTGAGAGAGTGTGTGAGCGTGTGTGAGAGAGTGTGTGTGAGAGAGAGTGTGTGAGCGTGTGTGTGAGAGAGTGTGTGTGAGCGTGTGTGTGAGAGCATGTGTGAGAGAGAGCGTGTGTGTGTGTGTGTGTGAGTGTGTGTGTGAGAGTGTGTGTGTGTGTGTGTGTGAGAGCGTGTGTGTGTGTGTGAGAGTGTGTGTGTGTGTGAGAGTGTGTGTGTGTGTGAGAGAGTGTGTGTGAGCGAGAGCGTGTGTGTGAGAGAGAGTGTGTGAGAGAGAGTGTGTGAGAGAGAGTGTGTGAGAGAGAGTGTGTGAGCGTGTGAGCGTGTGTGTGTGAGCGTGTGTGAGCGTGTGAGCGTGTGTGAGAGAGAGTGTGTGTGAGCGAGAGTGTGTGTGAGCGTGTGTGTGTGAGTGTGTGAGCGTGTGTGTGTGAGTGTGTGAGCGTGTGTGTGTGAGCGTGAGCGTGTGTGTGTGAGCGTGAGCGTGTGTGTGTGTGTGTGAGTGTGGTGAGTGTGTGTGGTGAGTGTGGTGAGTGTGGTGAGTGTGGTGAGTGTGTGAGTGTGTGGTGAGCGGTGAGTGTGAGAGAAGGTCATCCTGGTGAGTGGTGGTGGTGAGTGGTGAGTGAGTGAGTGTGGTGAGTGTGTGAGTGTGTGAGAAGGTCATCCTGGTGAGTGGTGGTGAGTGTGTGTGGTGAGTGAGTGTGTGGTGAGTGTGTGAGAGTGAGTGTGTCGTGAATGTGTGAGTGGGTGAGAGTGAGGTCATCCTGGTGAGTGGGTGAGTGGCAGCGGTGGTGAGTGTGGTGAGTGTGGTGAGTGATGGGTGAGTGGGTGAGAGTGCGAGAAGGTCATCCTGGTGAGTGAGTGGTGAGTGTGAGTGTGTGGTGAGTGTGTGAGTGTGTGTGATGAGTGGTGGTGGTGAGTGTGTGTGTGGTGAGTGGTGGTGGTGAGTGTGCGGGTGGTGAGTGAGTGTGTGAGAGTGAGGTCATCCTGGTGAGTGGGTGGTGAGTGGGTGGTGAGTGTGTGTGTGAGCGTGTGTGAGCGTGTGTGAGCGTGTGTGAGCGTGTGTGAGAGAGAGTGTGTGAGCGTGAGCGTGTGTGTGAGCGTGTGTGAGAGAGAGAGTGTGTGAGCGTGTGTGTGTGTGAGAAAGATGTGT